TATCTTGATGTCTTTTCAGCTGTTTAGTAGATAGCTCCCTAATTTGGTAGCCTAAAGTGGGATTTCCATTTAAAAATAAATAAATCAGGGAGCTATCTATTACACACAACAGATCCCTAATTTGGTACCCTTAATTGTGGCAATCCCACATAAGGATAGGATACCAAGTTAGGAAGCTATCTACTAAAGAGTTGAAAGGTAAATATTTAGCAATAAAACCCTTTTCTTCATTTTGCTGTTTCATTTGCTTTGTAGATAAGTCCCAAATTTGGTCCCCTGAACTATGGCCATCCCAAGTAAGGATACCAAATTAGGTAGCTTTATACTAAACAGCTGCAAGGCACAAAAAAAAAAAAAAAAAGCCCTTTTTCGCGGAGGTGCTGATTGACAATGGAGAGCATAAAAGACCTCTCCACCCATAGCAACCACAGCGCATGGATGTGCTATGGAAACTTGTAGTGCTGACTAGGAAGTATACGAATGCAATGATGTGACTCCATTCCAATGCCAGCATTCCATTTTGGTTCCAGCTTGCTGGCAACGCAACCAGCATGAAAATGCCACTGACACAATTTGTCCTTCTTCAGGATTTGTTCCAAGCAGGTCAAATCAAAGAAGATCTCGAGAGAAACAGAGGAAAGCTCGGAGGTGGGTGTTACAGTATCTTTGTGATATATGGTGTATTCAATTCATATGAGAGCGATTTAAGGGTAATTCTTTTTTTTTTATAACAGTTTCACTTTAAGTATTGCCATTTCAAGATGGATGGAATATATTGTGTAAGGATTAGATGATTAACGTCTTATCAGAAGACTGTCTATTTAGCATTGTCTAGGAGTCCAAAGTATTAATTATTAATTTCACTTTTTTTTTATGGAAAGATATGACATTTCATCTACTTTACTTCAGGTCTTTTGTCAACCTTGTGATATTTTAAAACATTGCGGAAGGGTCAGATAATCATCTGAGTGGATCCAGTTGCTGTAATGGCCCACGATGCGGTCTTATAATGTCAAGATATTAACTTCTTTCAAGGTCTGAGGTTTGTCATCAACTCCAACAGGTCAATACTAATTTTAACCAAAATCATTGGATTTTCTGATGGATTCTCCCAAGGCAACACTTGTCAAGTGAAGAAATTAAAACTATAAAGAAAGAAGTCAGAAGTTGTGTCGAACAAGGAACTAAATTCCTTAAAAACTTAATCAAGTATTTGTTGGACTGTGTGTATAATTTAATCTAAGCTTCCGGCATGTCTTAATTACAGAAGTCTCCCGAAGATTGAATGTCAGCTACTGAAGGTCAGGCCTGATTTATTCCAACAAAAAACTGTTCCTACAAGATGGTTCTGAAGAGCTCACGTTCATCCGAGATTGGAATGGAAGAGCAATATTTGGTTTTAAAAGATATATATACTAACATAAACAGACGGTTCTGTGTTGGGAAATTGTTATGGAGATACAATGACAAGAGAGAAATGATCCAAAAAATAATTGGATAATTACATATATTTTTAAATATTGCTGTTGGGAACCTTTACATTAAACAGTTTAAAATGTCAATTGGTGTATCCTGTTGAAACCATTTTGATGGAACAAAGTAAAGTCCATGGTAGATCTAGTTTAATATTTTTGTTACTACTGTTTAGATTGAGTTATTATAATAAAGTATGTTTATGTGTCTTCAATAATATTTTTCACAGGGGGCTTAATCCAAAAGTGACAGCTCGAGACGCTTTTCCTCTGGACTTCTCCATAGTGGAATCAATTACACTTTTCTACGTTTTTAAAAGGTGGAAGCAGTGGCGGCTTTAGACTTTGTGAGGCCTTAGGCGAAACTCAAACATGAGGCCCCCACTAACATCCAAAGAAAAAAAAATAGAGGTTGCATTCAGTTTATAAGATGCTGTAGTTGTATTGAAGGACAAGCTTGCATCGCTGCATTAGGAGAACTAGTATTCATTGTTCAGAGGCTTGCAGTGTCGCAGTTCCCTGTGCTGCTGCGTTGCAAGAATGCAAGAATGCTAATCGTTTATGCACGACTGCGGGGTATGGTTGCATAGCCTTGCAGTCATGTATACATAAGTGCCGGTGCTGAGGCGTAACTAAAAACCAAGCAGGCTCCTTTGCGAAAATTGCCCTGGGCCCCCCCCCATATGTCTCACGCCCCGCCCCCTCCATGTGTCAAATTCACACACCTCAGCCACTCCATGTGTCTCATTCACGCCCCACAGGGTAAGTGTGGCATGGTTGGGGGGTTGAGTATGACAGAATTGGAGTGGTTAATGAGATAGGGTGAGTGTGGTAGGATTAGGGGGGTGAGTGTGACAGTGCTAGAGAAGGTGAGTGTAATAGGGTGAATATGGCAGAGCGATGAGTGGTGAGTATGGCAACGGTAATGGATGGATAGGCAAGGTTTGCACCAGACGATGAACAGAAGCTCATACAGTGGGTACATTGGGCTAGTGAGGAGAATTGCATCATGGGAAGCTGGAAGCCATAACATGTATTGGATGTCATCATAATTACAATCTTTATTAAATGTTCCCTGACCACTGGTTCATTCCATTTGAATGTTTAGATGAAGTAGAACCTGTTTGAAAATCCTCTGCTAATCAAGTAAATCCTGTCGTAAAACCCTGGAACAACCTAAATAGATGCCTGGCGTTAGTCATCATCTATTTTATGATCTCTGAGGTCGTTTTTTTTTCTTCACCGTCTCAGTTTTCGCACTAAGCTCCCAATTCCTTTCATAATGTCAATAACGACAAAGATTGTTATCATCGTGTGCCAAATTAATGTCAGCTAAAGTGGGGAAGACAAAAGAAGAGAAACGCTCAGGGTGTGAAAATGAAAGCTTAAAACTTGCCGTAATTGATTTCAGTCAGTATCACCTACGAAGAATGAGACAAGAATAAAGCTAATCTTATCAAATTAAAGCAGGTCGCAGAGTTGTACCTGTCTTGGTTAAACACATCCCCATTATACAGGAAGAATGGAACCCTGGGGCCGTGATGAGACATCTATGTAATTTTCAAAAAGTAAAGCTTTGTCAAACGCAAAATAAAACATGTCCTATAACACCCCGGATACAATGTATTAGATTTCCCTGAATGTTTGTTTTAATAATTACTAAGCATATACCACACTGCCCCCCATGTCTGCCTATCACGTCATCTACGAGCCTTTGACATACAGGGTCATGTTCGTTCCAATCTTTTTAAAGTATTATCAATATAATACAATCAAATCATACATGAACTTAACGAAATAGCAAAATTCTAAAACAAAGATCTCTATGTGATTTTTGTTAATAGCATCCAACAATATCTACGGCCGTGTACAATTCCAACAAGTATTGCTGTGTGTAATAAACTTTGCCAAAATCTCATAAATCACATATTCCTGTGATCATTGGCTTCTTTGGGAAAGATGAGAAGCCCTGAGACTTGTCCGAGGGGGTCCTTATCACAGATCACAAATGAGACGATTACCAAACTACTGATTAGTAGACAGAGAATAGCAATTATCATTGGGAAATGAAAAAGTACTAAAGCACTTAATTAAATATACCAGTCTAACCCTTTATAGGATTTACTGTGACACAATAATCTTATGGAGACAAATAACATGTTATTAGTAGGACCAAATGCTATATTATTGTGTGGTGTCTGATGCAGTGCCATGTTGAATAAAGACCGTTTAATGGAAAGATATTATAGTCTGAGCTGAAATGCTGTGAATAATTATTGAGACTTTCAGAAAATATTAGTACCGCCTGAGTTGTAAAGATATTCAGTGTCTTAGTGGGAAAGAAATATATTTGGGGTTGTACCTTTAGCACTTAAATACAAGAAGTGTTGAATGAGTAATCAATATGTCTTGTTAAAGTCTGTTTCATGTCTGTTAAAACTTAAGCTGATAGTGGAACTAAAAATATATGTTGGACTTGAGCTCAAACTCCCATCACTCGTAGGCAGGTGGCAATGATTTTGCAAGCAAAATAAACAAATAATTAAAAAGGGGTAGGGCTATACACAGATTCATGTGTTCAGTCTGAGGGGGCGGGGCCATGCACAGATCACTGCGTTCAATCTGAGGGAGCGGGGACAGGTACAGATCACTGTGTTCAGTCTGAGGGGGCGGGGTCATGCACAGATCACTGTGTTCAGTCTGAGGGGCGGGGTCATGCACAGATCACTGTGTTCAGTCTGAGGGGGCGGGGCCAGGCACAGATCACTGTGTTCAGTCTGAGGGGGCAGGGTCATGCACAGATCACTGTGTTCAGTCTGAGGGGGCGGGGTCATGCACAGATCACTGTGTTCAGTCTGAAAGGGGCGGGGTCATGCACAGATCACTGTGTTCAGTCTGAGGGGGCGGGGCTGTACAGATCACTGTGTTCAGTCTGAGGGGCGGGGCCATGTACAGATCACTGTGTTCAGTCTGAGGGGGCGGGGTCATGCACAGATCACTGTGTTCAGTCTGAGAGGGCGGGGCCATGTACAGATCACTGTGTTCAGTCTGAGGGGGCGGGGCCATGCACAGATCACTGTGTTCAGTCTGAGGGGCGGGGCCATGCACAGATCACTGTGTTCAGTCTGAGGGGGCGGGGTCATGCACAGATCACTGTGTTCAGTCTGAGAGGGCGGGGCCATATACAGATCACTGTGTTCAGTCCGAGGGGGCGGGGTCATGCACAGATCACTGCGTTCAATCTGAGGGAGCGGGGACAGGTACAGATCACTGTGTTCAGTCTGAGGGGGCGGGGTCATGCACAGATCACTGTGTTCAGTCTGAGGGGGCGGGGCCATATACAGATCACTGTGTTCAGTCCGAGGGGGCGGGGTCATGCACAGATCACTGTGTTCAATCTGAGGGAGCGGGGACAGGTACAGATCACTGTGTTCAGTCTGAGGGTCATGCAGATCACTGTGTTCAGTCTGAGGGGCAATGTACAGATCACTGTGTTCAGTCTGAGGGGTCATGCACAGATCACTGTGTTCAGTCAGTGGTCATGCACAGATCACTGCGTTCAATCTGAGGGAGCGGGGACAGGTACAGATCACTGCGTTCAATCTGAGGGGGCGGGGTCATGCACAGATCACTGCATTCAATCTGAGGGAGCGGGGACAGGTACAGATCACTGTGTTCAGTCTGAGGGGGCGGGGTCATGCACAGATCACTGTGTTCAGTCTGAGGGGGCGGGGCCATATACAGATCACTGTGTTCAGTCCGAGGGGGCGGGGTCATGCACAGATCACTGTGTTCAATCTGAGGGAGCGGCCATGCACAGATCACTGTGTTCAGGGCCATGCACAGATCACTGTGTTCAGTCTGAGGGGGTGGGGCCATATACAGATCACTGTGTTCAGTCCGAGGGGGCGGGGTCATGCACAGATCACTGCGTTCAATCTGAGGGAGTGGGGACAGGTACAGATCACTGTTTTCAGTCCGAGGGGGCAGGGTCATGTACAGATCACTGTGTTCAGTCTGAGGGGGCGGGGCCATACACAGATCACTGTGTTCAGTCTGAGGGGGCGGGGCCAGGTACAGATCGCTGTGTTCAGTCTGAGGGGGCGTGGCCATACACAGATCACTGTGTTTAGTCTGAAGGGGCAGGGCCATATACAGATCACTGTGTTCAGTCCGAGGGGGCGGGGTCATGCACAGATCACTGTGTTCAGTCTGAGGGGGCGGGGCCAGGCACAGATCACTGTGTTCAGTCTGAGGGGGCGTAGCCATACACAGATACCTGTGTGCAGTCTGAGGGGGTGTGGCCATACACAGATACCTGTGTTTAGTATGAGGGGGAGGGGCCATACACAGATAGCTGTGTTCAGTCTGAGGGGGCGGGGCCATGCACAGATCACTGTGTTCAGTCTGAGGGGGCGGGGTCATGCACAGATCACTGTGTTCAGTCTGAGGGGGCGGGGCCAGGCACAGATCGTTGTGTTCAGTCTGAGGGGGCAGGGTCATGCACAGATCACTGTGTTCAGTCTGAGGGGGCGGGGTCATGCACAGATCACTGTGTTCAGTCTGAAAGGGGCGGGGTCATGCACAGATCACTGTGTTCAATCTAAGCTGGTGGGGCCAGGCACAGATCACTGTGTTCAGTCTAAGGGGGTGGGGTACGTACAGATCAGACTCCTCAGACTGAATGCAGCGATCCCAGGATCCTGCACCCAGAAGAGACAGGAGGTAGAGATGGAGATTTTAACAGGTAGCGCGGGCGCCCCTTAAAGGACAGGCACCTACTCTGACTAATTGGAACTCTGGACCTGGGTAGGTAGGGATTTCAATTAACACCTCAATATGGAATGAACCTCCATGCCAATATTGGCACAGTCAGAGGAGGAAGCTATTTGTGCCTAGTTATTAGAAGCCACTATGAACAATGAGCACACCATGCTATGGTGCCTGAAGTGTCCCTTTAAAATGATTTTAGTCTGTTATGATCTATATTATGTTTATATTCAACCAATCGCCATTTGTGGCTGTGGATTATGAATGACTGCACACGGCAAGCCATATTTCTGCTTGAGGCATTAGAATGTAAGGATTATTTCTATTATATGAAAAATACGTAATTATTTAAGTTTGGAGCCTATTTATATCAGCTAAATATGACGACTTGTGTGCACTTAGTGACACCAGACAATAAGAATTACTATATTTGCAAGGCGACAATTTTAAAGCCTAACTTTGCTAGCCAATCCTAAATGTTACTTGCCCTTGCAGAGCTCCTATTATAATATGACCGCTGGATAAAGTCAGGACAGCAGTACATGCTCATCATCCCCAAATGTCTGTCGTTAGATCCCACAATTGCTAGTCTGCAGGTGTCTGTGGACACTATGATTAATTATAGTATTTACCTCTCTATAACCTTTTCATGATATATCTGCAAGCAATTTGCTTAGTACAACGTTTAGACTTCATTATAATCGATTTAAACGTTAATCATAGTGCAGTCAGAGGACCCATACATTTTTAGGTGTGCCTTCAAATCTAGGAGAAGAGAGACACTTATTCTTGATCTCTTTCCTCCATAATTCCGTCAGCCGACCTGGGAGGTATACAAGTACCCACCATACATTGTGGTATCTGTGTCAGGTTTTTGGCACACCAGCAATTTTTTATACTCTATGCTAAGGTTTAAATTGCAGCAGGTGACCCGATTTATTGTTTTAAGGAACACTCTGTAGTAAGCACTACAGCGGCTTACTTGCTTTGCAGCAGAACACTGGATGCGGCATGGGCATCCAAGAGATCCATGTACTAAACTGTACTAAACCAGTTTGACTACTAACTGCGGGATGATGCCAGGGCCCTCCTGGCACCACATCCACTAAAGATGGCTGTGGTAGTTATGGTGCTTAGAGAGTTCCTTTAAACCTTACTGTTTGAGTCATGCAGCCCATGTGCACTTTCAGGAGAAAAATAAAAAATCAAGGGCCAGCTACAGCTAGCATTGTCACATTGACTGCCTGATGGAGGGGAGAAGAGGACGCAGGAGGGGTGTCATTGCCACTGATATGATAAGCTGTGGCTCTCAAACTTTCGTGAAGATCCTCACTTTCAGAGAAAGGGAGTAGACGGGTTTTAGAAGTAACACATAAAGAGTCCCAGGAGGAAAGATTTCCAAGTAAGTGGATTAATCTCATGAGAGCAAGCATTAGATTGCTAGAGTACGACCTGCAAAGAATGAGGTACATTGACGTTTTGGCAGGCTTACGCAATGTATGATCATAAATTGTAAATAAACCCCCATTATTTTTGCTTAGGTGAGGTGTTTTTAAAAAAAAAATATTAAATTCTGTGAGCTTTAAAGTCGGTGTTTAGTGAATAAGCTGGATTCTGTTATGTTGACACATACGTGGAGATACACTCAAGAGACAGAACAGAGGGTGGGGTGAAACAAAACACATTTTTCAATGCCAAATAGACAATTCTACTCTGGGTTCCAAATAACCAAATTGGTTGTATACAGCATCATTTATGGTCTGATATGGCGTATTACTGGTTGGAGTTAGTGAACAAGTCATTCTCTGTCACATGATGTTGTACAGCGAGCTGCAGTGATCATGGCAGCAGCAGAGGATTATAATTACATTGACTTAATGTACAACCAGAAACTACTAAATGGAGTCAGGATAACTCCTCACAAATATGTGGGGAATCCCTCCTCCATAAACGAGAACCTCTAAACGAATTAAGTATCCATAAATATGGTATAGGCCTTTGGTATAGATGAAAAATAAAGCAGGATGGACTCCCACTCCACCAAAAGAAGTTCCTTTAAAAGTAAAAATTCGTATAGGGGGTATAAACCTTTATTAAAGCCGAATATTAGGATATTAAAATATAAAGCGTCTAACTAGAACAGTAGGTTCTATGTGAAAAACCAAAACTCAAACAAATGTGACATTGTGAATAAACAGAGTGATAATACCCCTTTAAAATTCTGGGTAAAGTAGTCTCAAAGGCCACTTCAAGTAGTAAGAGGATTTTAATAGCTATTATAAGTATTCTCAAATTTGAGTAATTTAATAAATTCAGTAGTTCGATACTTCCAGAGTATCAAGGTACAAGTAATTAGTGGCTGTAGTGTGTAGAGGTTGTAAGAAATTGAACCAAAACTAAGGAATAAACTGAATTTGGTCAGACAAATCAACAATAAGCAGTGATATACACTGTATCACGTTTGAATTGATACCTAACTTCCAGTAAAACAGAGTCTGTTAGCCACCGCACACTAATGGATACATAGTTGTTCTAATTAGATAGTGTTGCTAAGTGGACTTTATACACAGTTTACAAAGTGTAGGTATTCTTGTCCATCCCTTAATTAGACCATATTAATCAAAGGGTTCACCATGTCATGAACACGATGTACCCAGCTCCAAACAAAGTAGGGGAGGAGATGGTTAAAAAAAAGGGGGGGACTTGTCAAAAACAGTGCATTTAGGGGCAGTACCACCAAAACGGGCTGAAGTGTTAGAATCCCTACATACAAGTGACTATCCAGCTTCTTGTATATTGTAGCTGTTACGTCAGCATCAAATGCTTCAAAGTACTAACTGCCAAATCGTTAAATTACAGAAGTTATAGGAGTTTGTTAAATACCAATATCCAGTCACACAGTCGCTGGCTGTCACTAACCCGTTGGTGACTCCTAAAACCCCTATCTCCTGATGCTACTGTAAGGCAGCCTGTTAGGTTGATACCCAAAGCCCCTATCTCCTGTAGCTGCTTTGAGGCAGCCTGCCTAGTAAACCCTACTTCCACTTGTGTGGCTTAATGTACAACCAATTAACCCACAAAGTCCCATCACTCCTAGCCAGAAAGAGGCTGCCTCTACTACGTCATCCAACAAAGGTAGTGTGGCCATTGCTTCATAAGCTCAGCTTTTAAAAGATGAGGACGATGTCAGTAAAATAATATTATTCCTACACAGTCTATTTGAAGTGGTCCGGGGACATCCAGAGAAATTTGCAAGTAGTCAAAGGAGGCACAGTCCATTTTTTAATGTACCTATGGGTGCAAATTCTACAGAGCTGGACAGAGTGGATTCTTGCACATTGCCTGAGCCTGCTATTAAACCACACAGACATTCCCAACCTCGTATTATGACAATCAGTAAATGAATATTCCTTCCTCATCAGGCTGAAAGGTTATAGCCAAAAAAGAAGAATACCGGGACAAAGGGAGCTGCCACTGTGGGGCGATAAAGAACTTTAGTCCTATTCACAGGCTGACATGCTGTACTAGAACATGATCCTAATCCGGTTTCCAGCATTCTTTTAACCATTCGGCATCCTTGCTCCATGCTGTATTCACTCAACTGTCACTTTGGCAAAATCCAGCAAACAGAATTACCCAGAGATAAACATCAAAGAGCGCTCAGAAATCTACAGTGAGCTCACGGACAATTAAAAAAGAGTGGGAAAAAAAGCAGACGCAACAAAAAGAAAATCAACGCCAGGTCTGGTAATATTCGCTGTAAATACCATGGCCAGTATTCTCCCTGCTTTATTTTGAACGCGTTTTTCTGTATTCAGATTTTTCGTTCTCACCTTATTTAACATGTTACATTTAGCTCGTCTTCGTTTTAACTGGGACCTGGTGTTTTCCTAACACACATTGCTTGTACGTTACTGTCACGTTAAAGAAAAGAAAATGGAATCTATACATTGTGCTAGCCCTGTTGTAGCAAATGTGTAGGACTAAAGTTATTGAATTACAAATGAATCCGGCCATCTCGGACTTTGCAGCTATATCTGTCTTTTAATCTATTCGATTGCCTGCGATTTTGCAAGCCCAGTATATTTGCACGCATGTTACATTGTTACCTACCAGGTTTGCAGGAGATAGGTTCAGTTTTTTGAAAAACATGACAGCTTAATTTCTTGAAAAGTTAAAAGTTCTCCCTAAAATGATTTACTTGACCTACTCACTGTATAAATTGACCCAACATCTAAAGATGACTTTAGGATACATACAGAGTGGTTGTGTGTGATTACTCCATCACCACTGATGTTCTTAGCAAATGAATTCCGAGTAGGAGTGGTGTCGAAACAAAAGTCTTACTTTGTTTTCACAAAACAATTACAGTTGTACCTTAACTTAAAGGACCACTATAGTCACCCAGACCACTTCAGCTCAATGAAGTGGTCTGTGTGCCAGGCCCCCCAGGTTTTAACCTTGCAGCTGTAAACTTAGCAGTTTCAGAAAAACAGCTATGTTTGCATTGCAGGGTTAATCCAGCTGCTAGTGGCTGTCTTCCTGAGAGTTGCTAGAGGCGCTTCTGCGACGCTCAATGCCAAAATCGCATTGAGCACGCAGAAGGTCCATAGGAATGCATTTAGAAATGCACATTCGGCTCCACTCGGGAGCTGACGTTGTAGGGGGAGGAGAGGTCACCAACACAGAGGGAGTCCAGCACTCAATAAAGGTAAGTGGCTGAAGGGGTTTTAACACCTTCAGCTACCGGGAGGGGGGCCCTGAGGGTGGAA